ATACTGGCCATAATAGCTTCAAAGAATTTCAACAAGTTCCTAAGACATGACCTTCCCTTTCCGAAAACCACGTTGGCCAGGCTTGCCTTAATCAAGCTGTGCTTTTCTAAGCATCCTTTTACTTGATCTCCTGCAGCAGTTTTTAATACTTTCCCCACAAGTGAAGTTAAACTAACTGGCCTGTAATTTCCTGGTGTGTCCCTAAGCTCTATGAAATAACGGCATTAGGTTGGCTACCTTCCAATTCTTCCTGAATTTTGTTTTGTTTTGTTTTAAAATGCAGGATTGAAAAGGCCGGAGAATGCTTCCTGTCTCCCTTTTCCTTCATTTCTTCCATGACATACTGCTCCTTCTGTTCCCAGTAGATCTGCCATTTTAATAACTTCAAACCTCTTAAATGTTTTCACATATTATTTGTTCCTATCTCTGAAGCATGAGTTTCCCATTTTTCATTTTGACAAGGGCCACCCCCCAAAAAAATAAGGGCTTGAAATTTTATTGAGTAGACCGTTAATTGGAGGCACTGTTTAAGAAATAAGTTTTATACTAGGAATCTGGAAAAGGGTGCCAATCAGATTATAATAGATTCTGTACTCGTACTTGTGAGTTATTATGTATACATGTTAGGGAAAAGAGCTGAGAAACATGTTATACACCCATGAAGAAGGATCAAATATGAAATTATTACATAGGGGGATACTAATTCAATGTAATAGCAAAGTATATTAAAAATGTGGTGAAACTAATTAGATCTGACGATGTAAAATTCGCATCCTATATTTTTAACTGCATATGGTCCATTATTCTCAAATCTAGTAACAGAAAATCTTTCCATATTTAATGATCTCCCAGTAGAAAGAGCCATAGAAATATCTTAATTAAAATACATCAGTTAAAACATAAGGTTTTATTTTTTTATTGATAGATATAAAGAGGAAAATTATTTGCATATTTGTAAAATTGCATTATATCATTAATCTTTACGATTGTCCAAGTCCTTTACTGTACAAAATTGACTATTTTTTTTAAACAAGTGAGCCACCAACTAGGGCATAAAAATCTTTATTTTTATAGACCATTTTTGTTTCAGCAGGCTTTTGGTGTTTTGTTTCTGTGGTAACCTAATTTATCTTTTCTGAATAAGTCACAGACAAGCACAAAAACCACAGTCCATGTGTGGATGGAGGCCTTCCAGGTAGGGAGGTGCAATGATCACCATCATGAAATAAAGGAAACTATGGAGTGGAATCTAAAACTTTTAAGAAAGTAATCTTTGATTTCAGGAATGAGTATATGTGCAAATGAACAGGTCAGATTCTCTATGTGGGCCGTAAAACATATACGGACAGACAGATATTTGTGTATACTCAAAAAATAAATTTAAGCTCCAGGAGTGAATCTTAAAGCATAGATTTTTCCCACTGTTTAAAATGTTTTCTCATAGCTTTCCATCTTTAGGATTTTAAAGCTATAATTAAAATAGGCATAGGATTACCTCTCCTAGTTAGTATATATTGTACCATGTAACTACAAATTTAGTATGTATTATCAGTCTTCTCCCACTCCTATGTCTTAGCTTGAACTGTTTCCCCTTTTTTAGAATGTCCTCTGCCACATTGGAATTCCAAGACCTACCCACCCAAGGGTGAACAGCTCTGAGCCCAGTGAAAGGGTATTGGGTTTGTGGGAAAATGGCAAAGCTTGAGGCAATGAATTTAACTACAATTAAATCCAAATTCTTCAGTTTTCTAATTAGTAGACTTTCTACATTCTCTTTGCGTTCATTTCCCTATATGTAAAATGAGGTTATTTATATTTTCTTTTAGAATTGTGATATGGATTAATTTGGATAATATATTTAAAAGATAAAAATTATCAGGACCCCTTCCCTTGTCCTCCCAATACCATCTTCTCCACCAAACTCTCCCAACCCTAGCTAATAGCAATCTCATTTTCCTTGGAATGCCCATAACACTTCATCTGTTCCTCATGGACTTGACTATTTTCTGCATTGAGTTATTCACTCATTTAACAAACATTTGTTGAATACCTACTATGTGTCAGGCTTATATTTTTTTCCTTTTATTTCTTTTTAACTAGTTCTTAAGCTTCTGAGGTCAGAGTCTTTATAATATTCATATTCCCTCCTCCATTATCCAGATAGTGTTTGACACTAGTGCTTGAATAAGAATATACTTGTTTCATATTTGGTACAATATCACTGTTGGGTAAAACTGGTCACTATATAATACAGGAAATATCTGTATTCATTTTCATAGGTGTCCACATCCTCAAAAAGGATTACATGCTAGAATTTGTAGTTATGTGTAATGCCAGTGCATGAGATCATCAATGTCTCCATCATTGTTAAATAATAATATAATAAATAAATAGCTAACATTCCTGAGACTAAAAAAGATTATTCTCTTCCTATTCCCACATGAGTCCTTGAAGTAGCTCTTGCAAGAGCAAAACACAATTTCCAAAAAGCGAAGGTGAATGAACAAATGGGCTATAGTTATTATGCATGTCTCTGTGGAATTACATTAGCACAGATGTAAGCAGGTTTTCAAAAAACTGAGATTTATAAATAAAGACTCTCATATATACAATATCATGGCTAGATGCAATTCTAAAGTTTCAGGGGAAATTACACAATTTCAGAAATGAGGCGGAGTGTACACAACACCAAGCCATCCAAACGAAAGCTTGAGCACATCATTCAGGAATGTGGTCTTTGCAGGCCCAGACATTCCAAGTGGTTATTGGAAATATGTAATGTGGTTCTGACACTATTTTACTACTTGTGGATGAACTGTACCATAATGAAGTTTCACTTTAATTTGCTGCTCCTCCTAATTGACCACAAGCTAGGAAACCAGAAAGCCAAATTGATTAGAACTGTGTTTAAAGTAAGAATGACTAGGCTCTGATTTAAGGCCAATGAGAATATCCTACAAGTAGAGTAAATGGAATGGAAGTGCATGGCTTTATGATATCTATTTTGAGGTCTCGCTAAAAAAACGCAGGTCTAAGAGGAAATAACACTGTGACTTTCCCATGCAACATAAGCAATTTTGTAAGAGGAGCTATTCTTTCCCATTGCAGTTTTCCTTGAGAAGGAAAAGATAAGACTCCCTACACTGGCTCCTGAAGAGTTCACCTGTGGCAAGGGGTTCACTTGCTATAGACCATGCAGGACATTCAGCAGAAATAGACTCAGGAGCAGACTGTCCACATGCCCTGAAAGCCCAGAGATCTCAGAAGAATTTAGCTTCTGGGCCTCTTTCATGGTCGCCACTCACAGCTACCTCAGGGCTCTCAGTAGGCATCACCCACAGCTTTTTAAATCACTTGGGATGAAGTACCAGGCGACAGAGTTCCTGATCAGGTCCTGAGTGTGGAGGGACTGAGATGGAAATGGGCCCCTCTGCTCCACATGTGCATTCTGTCCTTGGCTAACCTGACCAAGAGCCTGAATTTGTTTTTGTTCTTTATCCATTTTTGCTATAGTCACTGATATCAATGCTCATCTGCTGCACCCAAGGTTCAGTCTCTGTGGTGCTGCTCATCCGGCTTCCCTTTTCTTCTGCAACCATTAAAAAAAAGGTAGGTGAGAGGGTATGGGAGGCTGATTGCCCAAAAGCTCCACTGGAGGAATGTGGTAGAGCCAGATGTTAAATGGACCTCCCTGAGTGAAGCATACACATCCAAGAGTCACGGCATATATTGGAGAGAAATGGCTTTTCATCTGAACTCTGAATTTGTGACACTGTGTGATCCCGCATCCCAGTCAAATGGCTATCCAGATTAGACTTCAAAACTGGCCTGTATCATCTCTCTGATTTTTACTGAGCATTTTTGAAGAAGGAAGAGTCCTTTGGGGAGCTCCTTGATCCCAGGGTCAAGAACTGGACATGGGTTTCTATAGCTACTTCAGAAGAAAATCTCTAATGATTTAAATCTAGGTATCACTTAATGTCCCAACTAGAGCACACATACTCAGAACATCATAACAAAAGATAGTAAGTATATGTTATTTAACGCTAACAGCACAGAGCTTTCCCATGATAATGTGGCAGGAGTCAAAATATAAAATCCATGGTATTGTCAATCACACATAAACCCAACGAAACTTGTTCAGATAGCACTCAGGCAATGCTACAGAGGCCTTTATGAAATCATCCAAGACCTGAGACACATAAAAATTTTACTAGTCATCACTGAAATAAAGTCCAAACAAGTTTGTCTTATAAAGATCCAAAAATCCTTGTGTTTTAGTCTACAGAGCCATAAAACAGTGCCTGATAAATTTTAAGTGATATTCTAATTAATCGCTGGATTTTTATAGTTTCTTGTGAGCTGTAAGTTAGTTATTAACAAGGCAAAGAGAAAGGAAACCCTCTTGTACTGAGTATGAGTTCTAAGTCCTTTGCACAAACCCACTAGTCAGCCAAGCCAGGTTTTGGTGTTAAGCATCTGCTAGAAATGGAATGCACCATTAATCTGAAGATTATTGTCATTTTCACATTGATTAAAAAGTAGGATGTAGAATGTGCACAAAGTTCACAAACTGATAGAAAATCATTCGAGGTGGCTCTGTCCTGTGCAGGAAACATTTTGGGGGACATTTCTACATTATGTCTTTGGTGAAATGAATACTTTTTCATACACTAATAATATGACCCCCTTAAATAATATCACATATTCAATAATTACCATGAGAAAGTATAACCAGACACTCTTGCATATAAAAATTTCTGATTTATATTCTTCAGTTGGATGCAGTGATGGTGTAGAAAATCTGGGACAATTTTATTCCTAGAGAGGAATTTAGTTAAAAGGACGGCAGATTTTTTAAGTGCCCATCACCAAGAACAAACAGCTCCAATGAGAAACAGGGATTTGTTTTCATAGAATGAATTAAAGTGACTAAAAGATTATTATTTCAATTCTCATTTTCTAAAATAAAAATATCTTCAATAAGTATGTCTACCTACCTCATAATATAAGGGAAAGCTAATGCCTGCAGGTTGCTTTGACTTTTTAGGTGTGGTTCCAAATAGTACATTTGCTTCTTCAATCTGTAAGAAAATAAAAATTCATCTATGGTGAGAAAGGCATACATAAAGAACAATTAAATAGGTATATGTGACTTTCAAACACCTAGGTGGCTTGAGGGGTTGGGAATCTAGCAAGGAAGAGCTATTCATGGACAAGGTAAAGTATTTATAGTCACTGTGGTCAGCGCTCAGTGACTGTATGAGTATGTGCCATCTGACAGGACTATGCTATTGGGCCCCTCTGACAGCTATGAGTCTCTGTAGACTTCAATCTTTCTAGTTAGACTTCCCGGAACATTACATAGTTTTGTCTTTTATTTTATTGAACTTTCATTAAATAATTCCTCATATAACCTAGCAGGGGCCAGGTAAGGCCTCAGAAATTTTTGTTGAATGGATGAATGTTGAATGACCAATATTCATGGACAAAAGATAATTACTTCAGATGAAACAATTCAAATTATTCTAGCTAAGTGTTTAAAATAATCCACAAAAATTTACCAAATAGCCCAAGAATATGACAGTTTTATTTATTTTATTATTTTATCCTACTATTTTAAGAAAAAATATCTTCAAGGGAGTGGGAAGGACAGTACCTGCTGGAGAATGTCTTGCCATGATATTATACTGAAGAGTCTTCGCTGAGGGACCTGGACAGCAAGGGTGAGGGCTCGAATGAGAAGATCATCCTCAACCTGGTTTCCAACAACAAAAGCGACGGAGCCCTTCCAATCTTTCTGTTACAAAACCAAAAGAATTAGACTCTCAATACTCCTGGCTGGGTATTTGTGTGTCAATGGCTTCTACTGAAAAACAGAATAATATTTCCATAAATCTTACAGGGTGGTGGGGGTGGAGGAGGGGGACGGGTGGGAAGAGATCAACTAATGAATATATTTGCATACTAGAGGTCCGATGCATGAAATTTGTGCAAGGGGCTCGGCCCTTGCAGCCCCTCACAGCCCCGGCTGGCCCTGGAAGCTCTGGCTTGGTCTGGAAAGTCATCTGGACCGTCGTCCAGAAGAATGTCTGGACGGTTGTTCTGCTGTTTGGTCTAATTAGCATATTAGCTCTTTATTATATAGGATTATATAGGATATGCATAGCCCATGGACAGACAATAGTGCAGGAAAGGCCTGGGGTAGGGTATGAGAGCAGGGTGGAAGAGGCCAATGGTGGGAAAAAGGGAACATCTGTAATACTTTCAACAATAAAAATAAATTTACAAATAAAACAGTTGACTTTATGCAGCTTATGTGGGTTCCTGATTCAAGTAGCCGCCAGGCGGCAGTATTGTGCCAAATTTCATGCCACTTGACAAAAACACAATTTTCTTGAGAAAGTAGGTCTTTTATTTTAAGGAAGACAACTTTTAAAAATGACACACTTTCACCAGAATGCTATCCAAAACCAATTTGGTGTTGGAAAGCATTAGGTTCATATGTTACAAAATATACATTAAGATATAATCGCAAGTGCCAAAAACTTTATTTTGTCGCTGATAGAACCCTAAGATTCTAAATAATTCTAGGAACATAGTAGGAGCTCAAGAAATATTTGTTGAATATTGGATAATATTGAATTTGTTGCCAAATGGACTTTTATATGAGGTAAAAATGCAATCTCTGAAGCATTTATAAAATACAGAACTAGAACCCATCTTTTTCTCCTAATCTAAAATAAGAATCCCATTGTTAATTCGTGAGTTCTTTCCACTCCCAATAAATAGGCTAAAATATTATACTGGGACATGAATTTTTGCATTAAATGATTGAAAGCAATTTTACTAAAGACAAAATTCTTATTCAGTAATCCCTTTCTCTCTATTATAATTTCTATTGGGAAGAAGCAATTCTCTGGAGGAGATTAAGAATAGAATTTACTGAATTACCCTGCTGTGCTGAGGGAAGAACCAACATGCAAATCAGGCTCTAACAGTCTTATGGAGAGATGGATCAAGTAGACAGGATATAGACATCAGGAAAGAGAGAATAATAAGGAAGGGCACTATAGCTATGTGCACTCTCTAGGCCTTAGTTTCCCCATTTATAAAATAAAGAAGGTGCCATTTATAAAATAAAGGGGCTGGGCATGTCCATATTCACTTCTCTCTAGCTCCACTCTAGAGTTTTGATTCAAACAGAGTGTAACTCCCCCTTGCTGGATTCCAAAACAATGTCTAAGATGATTTGAAAAGATTTTACACAACTTAAATGAAATGCATTAATTGTATGTGGTTCTCTCTGGCTTCTCTCCACCTCTTTATCAGGGTAATGACAGAACGAGGGTACAGGTGGGAGAAAGGATCTTAGTGCAAATTCTTCCTTACCATCAAATAGTGATTATCATTAAACTCTCTTACTTCTCTCCATGGAAACTTCCTAACAATACTCACCCAATTTTCAATGCTACCACCAAAATAAAAACTACACATAAGAGCACAAAAATGTGTATTTTACCTGCAAAGAGCATGTGTGTCGGTGTGCCTGCATGTGGGTGAGGCTCTGTATTCCCTCTGTCATATTGAGTTTAAAACCTGCTTTTTTGCTGTTTGCTAATTCGCCCTGGGAAGACTGAGCATTTGCTTTTTAAATATTCTTATTCAGAAAAGCAGGTATGATATTCATTATGCATGCTTTAGAAAAAAATTCCATTATCACAAATGAACTTCCTTTTAGACACCTTTCTTTTCTCTTGTCTGTCTCTCAGTCAAATATGCAACTATAATCATCATTAAAGGAGGAAAATCTCTCTCATTCTTATAATAAAGTCCATATGGCTCTTGAACAGGCAATCCCATTAATTTCCTAGAAGTCACACTTTCCATCACTGAAGATTTTAATGACCATTTCTATCCCTAGTCCCACTCCCTACTGTAAATGTTCTTGCCAATATTTGAATGTCAGTGGTGACAAGAAAGGGCTGTCTCTCAGTTCTTTTGGAGATAATTCAGAAGAGGGCATTGTAGTTCAGCGTCCACCCCTCAGTATCTGGCATTGAAGGCAGGTGTTCACTATTTCAGACCAGAAAAAGAGAAGGGAGGAGGAAGAAACTAACAATTATTGAAAAATGTCATGTGCCAGGCATATGTTATCTCATTAAATCCCTAAGTAATCTCTTTAAATAGGTGCATTAATACTTTATTGATGGGCAAAACAGAGGCCCTACGAAGTTAAAAATCTTGTTAAAGGTCATTTTGGCAAAAAACCACATGGAGACCACATACTGGCTTGTAATTTTGTGATCATTTCAGAACAATTTTGAGAGCAAGCCTTTGGGGTCAGAATGCCTTTCTATAATCCTTAAATTGCACCTAATGGCTACTTTAGCCACAGTAACCATAATAGATGAAGATTTATATCACATACCGAGGTGCATAAAACCTTCAAAAATAGATTATTAAATCTTTTAAACACCATAAGATTGCTCTTTTATAAATGACAGTTTTACCAAGACTCAAAGAGGTTAAGAAAATTTCCCAAGGTTCCTTCTCTCGAAGCCCAGTGGTCTTGTTACTTTGCTGGAGAACACATCTGAACACAAGACCTGCTCCTCTGATCACAGCACTGTACTGAAACTTCTGGGACCCCTGGGGTCACCTTGAGGCAGTTCACCTGGGCCAGAGCCAGGCCACATCTCTCCACTAGAAGGGATCTAAGAGTTCTGCTAAGGCTCAGTTTCCCCTCTGCACTCTCTCACCCACCAAACTCCTGCTCCCGAAATTAGAGCTGGCTAAACAGGATTCCCAGAGGACTTGGTTGGAGTGCTGACTTCGTGTTAACCACATCGCCAGAATGGACTGACCAGGCAGAAACAATGCAAACCCGGATTGTCTGTTGAGAAGGATGCACTCACTGGCAAGCTGCACTAGGGGGCAGCGAGATGCCAGGAAATGCACAACATTCCACTAACAAGAGCAAATTGTTTCCTGTGTCTAATTAAATGTTGCTCTGCAAATTTAATTTCTGAATCTTTCTCTTAGTAGTTTAGGATAAATGTAGAGTCCACGTCTCTACTAACTGGCAGCAGTTTTAGAAATAGGAAAATTTTTGTAAAAAAATCAAACACCAAGTAGACATGGCAAAATACTATTAAAAACACCCCTCCACTCGTATCCCACCAACACGCAGTTAAGCAAAAGCCTTACATTTGAGTTCACCAGGCAGCAAGAGAAATTTAGTCTAGAGGCTGACCCTGGGGGAGGAAAGAAAGCAGGGTGCGGACAACCTGATTCATCACACGAGAGTCCCGCAGTGCTCCTACCTGTGGGCGAGTTTGTTTAAGAAAGTTCAAAAAGTTTGGGTTGTAATTAGTAGCATAAGCCTAGAGAAAGAAAACATTAATCATTTTAGGAAAACTTCCCTGGATGTATCCAGTGGTGAAGGAAGAGGGCTTTAGTCGGGCACACCTCAGACACCTCAGGAAGTCGGGCTGGCTCTTGCTGCCAGGAGGCATCTACTGTACATGTTATTGCTGAGTCTTGCCCTCTCGTAGTTATTGATAAAGTCATTCAAAGGATGGAATGAAGTCATGTATGGACACAATCCATTACCTTTTATTTACTTTACCAGTCTCACCTAATTTGAAGCCTGGCAGGAGGGCGTCTGAACCCAAACACTTACATACTGGTCTCCTAAGGCAAGAAAGCAGTCATGGAAATGCAGACAACCTGGCTGTCTCATATAAGCCCACTGTCCCAGAGACATAGTGTAGATTGATAACTATTTTTCTTTCATATATTATAAATTCTCCACATTTTATTTAGGCATTCCTACATTCTAATATAATTACAACAACCCTATCAAAAGCAAGTGAACAGTAGCTTTGGTGTGACAGGATGGAGATTGCTTCCTTCTATTAGCACAAACATCAACAGGTACTGGGAAGGCAACTGGAGGCCAGCACGCTCTCCTCTGCTGCCTTGGCCCTGAAAGACCCGGGATGGGAGCTCCACAATCCTCTATTCAGGACTCCCCTGAGCCTAACGAGCTGACCAATAGTGGTCAGCACCTGTGTTTGGAGAAGATTTGTGTAAGAGCCTCAAGAAAAATCAATGCAATGAAGAAGTCATGCTTTGTTAAGAGTTGTTTAACACTGTGCAGATATGCAAACCTGTACTTTATTGCAATACTCTGCTGAAAGGATAGCCCTTTTGTTAAGTAGATGTGCTGCCAAATGGACAGGGGATTTGTGAACGTCTTTCTCATACTGGATTTTTCCTTCAAAAGGAGTCTTGGATCTCCATAAGCAAAGGAGTGTTAGTATGGGCTGTTGGCCAGCAAAAGAAATATTTTTATTACATATAACTGGCTGCTGCTATAATTGCATTTGTTAAAAAGGAATTCTAACTGTAAAATAAGTTGGAAATATAGGTTAACATATATCCTATATGTTATCCTATATAATAAAACCCTAATATGCAAATCGACTGAATGGTGGAACGACTGGTCGCTATGACGCACACTGACCACCAGGGGGAAGACGCTCATCACAGGAGCTGCCCCCAGGTGGTCAGTCAATTTGTAAAATACTTTTCTCTTTGGTAACAATATTGTTAACTGATATATTTCTAAAATACTTTAGATCCTTGGAAGAGGGGCAAAAATCATGAACACGGGATTTTTATTTAAAATTCTACAGGTATATAATTTTTGGAGCTCTGGGAGAGAATGTGAGAGTGTGGCACCTGGTGCAGGTCTGTCAGAGAAATCAACCCATCACCAACATGAAAGGACAT